TATTCTATGCAGAAAATTAAAAACATGTTTTTTTGTTTTATTTTATTACATAAAATTTATTTTATTATTAAATATGTATTATAATATATATTATTATTAAATATGTTATTATTAAATATTATATTATATTAAATAAAAAATTTACATTTTAAATAACTTATATTTATTGTTTATATTTAAAAAATCATATTTGAGAAAATTTTTAATATAATATAAAATATATACGTAATAATATGAAAATATTGATATTGATGGATTTTATTAGTAATGGAAATTTTATAAAAATTTTCATTTTCCTTTAAAAAGAAAATCACAAATTAAAACCTTGAAAATTAGTCATGAAAAAATGAGTTTTGCTCATTAATGCCTCATTATTTGACCTGTATGAGCTGTGATGATCACGGCGGTAAGCGTAAATTTATTTTTGCAATATAAAATTTTGATTTTTTTATTGTAATTACAGTTATTTTACGGTTTATGTAAAAATTTTAAATTCTTATTTCTAGGAAAAGAAATACATAATATTATAAGAAACTATCTAAATAAAATGTAAATTAGTACATTAACACAATTGTATAAAAGAAATTTCATCAAATTTTCATGTATTTTATATTATATTAAAAATTTTCATAAATATAATTTTTTAAATATAGATAAAAAAATAAGTTATTTAAAGTTATTTAATATAAAAAATATTTAATAATAACATATTTAATAATAATATATATTATAATACATATGTTCACACATTTAATTATTATTGTAAAATATTATTATTATTACTATTGTTATTATTGTACAATATTTGTAAAATTTGAACATATATGCTGATGTTAGCAATATCCAAACTTTGACTTTCCTTTGCATTATTTAATTTGGTAAAATGCAGTGGCACTGAACTTGAATATTTGCGTTATATTTTTTGTTAAGTGCAGTGGCACTGAACTTTGAATATGTAACATATATCAAGGCCAGTGCATTGGCATTAATTTTTGGTTGTTAGACACAACAAAGAATTTGGTTGCATAATATATGCTGAGCTTGCACTTTGGGCAAGAAGACGGTAAAGGAAAATAATAAAATTTAGATATTGTTATTGTAATAATTTGTAATAATTTAGTATTTAAGGCAAAATTTAATTTAATTCTGAATTTAAAAATTCAGATTGAAATCAATATTCGATCTCTCACTTTCATTTCCAGAGTTTCAGTTCAAGTGCTGAAAACTCAACTTTCAATTAAAGAGTTACAGTTTAAGTGCTGTCAATTCATTTCCTTAGGTGTTAATTCATTAACATTTAATTTGGTGACCCCGACGTGATTATCAGGTGAATCGCTTGATAATTCAACACGAATTTGACGTAAAGGTGTCCTATGATCACATCAACAGAGGCTTTGGTGTCAGCATCAAAAGAGGACAAAGAACACGAATTTGACGTAAAGGTGTCCTACGATCACATCAATACAGGCTTTGGTGTCAGCATCAACAGAGGACAAATAAAACAATTTTAGTTTCACAAGGTGTGAAATTGGCTGTTAATCAACAAATCAACTAACTGGATAATGGGTTTCAGTTCGCTAGTGGATCGCCAAAAGGCATTGGGCGACAAAATCAAACAATTTATTGGTAATTCCAAAAAGGCTGGAAAACCTCGCAGAACTTCTCAATTCTATACAGACAAGATTCAAGAATTGCAAAGGTTGGGTGACGAATATCATGAAAATCATCAGGAAATCATGGCTTCAGTGGACAAGGTTGACGACCATGAATACTTGGTGAACAGAGAGTATCAGAGTATTCTTAAAATGATTGTCGATTACAACAAGGTTCTAGAAATTGAAGCAATAGAGCTAGAAAAATCATCTTCAGAAAGCAATGGCACAACAATTGAGCAAAACAAACAGATAAATGATTCAAACATTCGGAAACTACTCCGAAATCAGAAGGCACTCATACGTGTAATTGAAAGAACGATAGAGGGAATCATGGTCAACAGGCAAGTTGAACAACCATCTACATACTATTCTATAAAGGCAGCCAGTCTTGAAGGATATATGGTCGATTTAACAGCAAATAACACAACGTTATGGGAAGCTACCGACGAAAGCATCATTGAGGACTACACACTGGAAATGTTTTATGAACTCGAGGAAAAGGCAGGAGCTGCCATGATCGAACTACAACAACATTTGCATAATAATTAGACAATTCGCAACTCAAGACAGACATATTCTCTACCAAGAATATCACTACCAAAATTTGATGGGCATATATGAAACTATATGCGGTGGGTGGAATTCAAGGACTTGTATATGGAATTGGTCCACAACACGGACATCAGTGACAGCAAAAAAATGCATTATCTGACTACATCATTGGATAACGATCCAAAGGGGCTAATTAGACATCTTCCAGTAGTAGGAGAAAATTACAATATAGCCTGGACTTTACTTACAAGTCGTTATGAAAATAAACGACTTCTGGTTACAACACTCCTAAATAAATTAATGGGACAATCCTCCATTAAAAGGGAGTCAGCACCAGCATTAAAATCTCTACACGATGTAAGCAAGGAATGCATACATGGTCTCAAGGCTCAAGGAGTTCCAGTCGAACATTGGGATGTTGTCCTGGTACATCTATTGCTGCGCAAGCTGGATGCAGAAACTCTAACAGCTTTCGAACAAGGGCTAACAGACAACAAACGTTTAATAACCATTGATGAATTGCTAAAATTTTTGGAACATAGATTTCAATCACTTGAGGCTAGGGGAAAAGGTGATTCATCATTCACTCGAACATGTGCTTCAGCTACAAAATTTGGTTTAAGTAAAACCTGTCCAATTTGCAATAAAGACGGTCACATGGTCTACGCTTGCAAAAAATTCGAGACGGCTAATCTATCACAACGGTGGAATTGGGTAAAGGAGTTCAATTTGTGTGTGAACTGCCTCAGGATTGGACATCGAGCTGATGAGTGTAAATCCAGGCACTGCACCAAGTGTTCTAAAAGACATAACACTTTGATGCATAATCCAAAAGGGAATCAATACACAAAAGGTACTGTTCTTCAAGGAAATAACTCAACGCCTCAACAAACAGGTCAAGCTTCAGTTTCAAACCAATCATCAAATAAAATAACTCTTTTAACAAACAATACCAATAAGGAATCTAATTATGTCTTATTAGGGACGGCCAGAATAAGATTGCTGGCATCAAATGGAAGACAAATTAAATGCAGAGCAGTATTGGACTCTGGCCCTCAAATCAATCTCATAACAAACCGCCTGTCAAAAAAATTGGGCTGCAAGCCTAGGCCAACGCTTATGAGTATGGAAGGCGTAGGAGCAAATGAATCAAAAATACGTCATCAAACAATAATCCGAGTACAATCAACGTTGAACGAATTTGTAGCAGAGATGGATGCACATATCATACCAAAAATCGTTTCAGATCAGTCAATGCAGTATTTGAATATCGAATCCTGGGATATTCCAAAGGAATTAACTCTCGCTGATCCAGATTTTAACAAACCTGGCCGAATAGATTGCCTGTTAGGAGCAGAGATCTTTTTCAAGTTACTTATTGAAGGTCAAATAAAACTAGCAGGTAGTCTTCCAACACTTCAGAATTCTATTTTTGGATGGGTTGCAGCTGGCAATGTTGAAACTTCAAATTCAAGCACGGCAACTTGTGGCATATGTACTACTAAGGAACTGGAAGAATCTACAAGGTGAGATGAAAAAACTGCAACCAACTTCAGACTGCTGTCATTTCTAAACCGCTCGTCCCACAGCTGTCAGATTTATTCTAGTGACAGCTCATTATATTGTTTACAAGCGCACAAAAGCATTTTGGTGGGAATTTTTCAAAAAAAAAGTTATTTGTGATGGAATTCAAGCGTGATAGTGTGATTGCTTTGCATTTGGCTGGAAAACCACAAGTGGCTATCGTTAGAGCCCTCCAGCATTTAGAAGTGAATAAATGTTTTGTGTCTCGTACCATCGCTCGTTACCATGATACTGGTAGCGTAGCCCGACGTCAAGGAAGTGGACGAAAAAAAACAGCAACATCGGCAGAAATGGTTCGAAAAGTGAAAAAGCGAATTGAACGAAATCCGCGTCGCAGTGGACGAAAAATGGCTCGTGAGCTGAACATATCGCAATATGCCATTCGGCAAATATTGAAAAATGAGCTTGGACTAAAGCCATTCAAGTTCCAAAAAGTGCAAGATCTTACTGATGCGCAAAAAAAAGTTAGACTCGAAAAAGCTAAAGAGTTGTTTCGCTTGGCCGAAAGTGGTGAACTGCCGAATTTGGTTTTCTCCGATGAGAAACCATTCGTTATCCAGCAGTTTGTAAACAAACAAAATGATCGTGTTTACTTGCCAGAGAGGTCAGCTGAAAATTTGCAACTTCGGTTGGCCATCACAACTCAAAAGCCGGCCATGGTGATGGTGTGGGCCGCCATAACAGCCGATGGTCGCTCGCCGCTCGTATTCATCGACCGTGGTGTCAAATTAAATGCGCAAATCTATCGCGAAAATATTTTGGAGGGAGTTCTGAAGCCCTGGGCACGCAAACATTTCGGCCGCAGACCTTGGACATTCCAACAGGACTCAGCACCATCGCACTCAGCACGCGCCATCCAAGAATGGTTAAGAAATGAGGTTCCTCGCTTCATTTCCACCGCACAATGGCCACCAAAATCTCCGGATGCCAATCCGTTGGACTATTGTGCCTGGGGTATTTTGGAAAGCAAGGTTGGAACTAAAAAATACCAAAGTGTCGATCATCTCAAGCAAGCGCTTCGCCGAGAATGGGACAAAATACCGCAGAGCCACTTTCGGGCCAAAGGTGGCCAATTCGAACAAATCTAAACCGATTCTCAAATTTGATGTTATTTCCGACATTTTTTGCTTTCATTCAATAAAATTTAAAAAAAATGAAAAAATTATGGCGTTTTACTTTGTTGCAGTTTTTTCATCTCACCTTGTATATATGGAATCTATATATATATGGGAATCAGAAGAAATTCCAGATTCAACTTCGGAACTCACAGAAGACGAATTGCGTTGTGAGCCACATTTTTTGCAACACACTTTTCGAGGAAGTGATGGCAGATTTGTTGTGAAACTCCCACTAAAGAATCATCCATCAGTGTTACCAGATACAAAAGGAATCGCTTACGAGAGGTTCAAGACAATCGAGCGCCGTTTCATTCAAAATCCTGATCTAAGGAATCAATGTGTTTCATTTATGAGGGAATATAAAGCATTGGGACACATGACAAAATTCAGCGGTAGCGAAATAATATCTCCCCAATATTTCATCCCTCACCACTGTGTGCTACGTCCAGACAGCTCAACATCAAAACTGCGAGTTGTATTTGACGCATCAGTACACAAATTATCAGGGCCATCACTAAATGACATAATGTTTAATGGTCCAAAAGTTCAAGACGAACTGTTTTCGATTTTGCTCAGATTTAGAATGCACAAATATGTTTTAAAAACTGATGTGGAAAAAATGTACCGTCAAATATGGGTTAACATAGATGATCGAAATCTGCAACTGATAATGTGGCGAGAAAATCCCACAGAACCACTTAATTATTATCAGTTGAACACAGTTACTTATGGCACAAGAGCAGCGCCATATTTAGCAACACGCTGTCTAACAAAATTGGCGGATGAATATCAAGGAAATTATTTATATGGCGCCACATCTTTAAACAGGGATTTTTATGTTGACGACGGTCTCATAGGAGCTGATACCATCAACGAAGCGTTACTAATTCAACAACAATTAATAACAATTCTAGACAAGGCTGGAATGAAACTAAAAAAATGGTGTGCAAACAACCCAAAACTTTTACATGGAATCGCTCCAGAAGATCAAGAAGTAAATCTCAATTTTGATTCCAAGGAAACCCAATTCACAAACACGCTGGGTCTTTTATGGTTACCAAAGTCAGATTCATTTCGTATCAAGGTTAACATTCGAGACCATAGTCACACAACAAAACGATCTATGAGCTCCGATTTGGCACACATATATGACCCCTTGGGTCTTATTGGTCCAATCTTGGCAAGAGTTAAACTTGATCAAGGCTATCAAGACAAAGCAACTTACTTATGGACACATTCACAAATTGTGCTTTCCTGGATAAACAATCATCCAGGCAAATTACCCGTTTACGTCGCCCACCGAATTGTAAAAATCCTTCGGTTAACAATTCCAGAACAATGGAGTCACGTCCTGTCAAAACAAAATCCGGCAGATATCCTGTCAAGAGGGCTTAAACCGCGGGAATTTTCATCTTGCTACATGTGGTTATATGGTCCACTATTTTTATATCAGCCAAAGCCGCTGTGGCCAGCTCCCTTCAAAAGGGAATTAATTGTTGAAGATAACACGGTGGTGCTTGCTTTATCAACACAACAACCTACTAATGAGCATCCATGGGTCTACTCGATTCATTCAAGAAATTTATTTACACATGTCCAAAAAGTTGTTGGATATGTACTTCGTTTCACAAAAAACGCACGGAAACCAAAAGAATCAAGACCAGAGACCATGCAGCTTTCACCGATGTAGCTCGACGTAGCACTTAAGATAATAATACGTCAAATCCAGGCCTCCGATTTTTCTGATCTAAGGAAAATGCTAGTTAAGGACGAATTTGTGCCAAAAACTCATAACCTCAGTTCTTTAACTCCGTTCGTAGATGAAGAAGGGGTAATACGTGTTGGCGGACGGCTAAGCTTTTCAAAACTGCAATTTGATGCCATTCATCAAATGATTTTACCAAGCAACGATCCACTAGTAAAGTTGCTGGTAGAAAAAATACATAAATACAATTATTATTGTGGCGCCCAAGCATTGCTGGCACAAGTGAGGCAGCGTTTTTGGCCCCTCAAAGGAAAAAGCTTGATGAGAGCTGTAATACAACAATGCTTAAGATGCAGAAGAGCAAGGCCAATTGTGTACAATCAAATCATGGGATATTTGCCTGGACACCGTGTGCAACCAGCTCGACCATTTCTCAGCACTGGAGTTGATTATTGTGGCCCAATATGGGTTCATTACAAAACAAGAGGCAAGCGTCCACAAAAGGCGTATATCGCTGTCTTTTGCTGTTTTGCAACAAAGGCCGTACACTTAGAACTTGTGACTGATTTGACCACAGATGCATTCATTGGAGCATTAAAACGCTTCATAGCAAGACGAGGACGCTGTAAAACGTTATACTGCGACAATGCGACCAACTTCGTTGGAGCGAAAACCAAGTTGCAGGAACTTACTGACGTCATCTACGCTGATCGAGCGAGGGAATCAATTGCAGGAATGTGCAGTACGAAAGGCATAGAATTTCACTTCATTCCACCAAGGTCACCACACTTCGGCGGGTTATGAGAGGCAGCAGTAAAATCTGCCAAATATTTGCTGGTCAAAAATGTTTCAACAGCATCACTTACATATGAAGAGCTTGAAACTGTCGTTATTGAAGTTGAAGCAGTGTTGAACTCGCGACCCCTTATTCCTAGCTCATCAGATGCAAACGATTTGAACGCAATAACTCCAGGTCATTTTTTAATAGGTGAAGAAATCACTTCAAGCGTTGATGTGCATGCACGTGACTCTAAAGAAAAATTACTTAAACGCTGGCAACTGGTATCAGAGCTAAAACACAGTTTTTGGCAGCGCTGGACTAAGGAGTATCTAAGCGAATTGCAACAGCGCCACAAGTGGAAGGGTCCCATCACCAACATACAGACCAATACGATGGTAATCCTTAAAGAAGACAATGTCCCAGTTCTGCAATGGCCTTTGGGACGCATCATCAAAGTTTACAAAGGCGAAGATGGTTTAATGAGAGTTTGTGACATTCAAACAAAAAAGGGAGTATTTAAAAGACCGGTGCATAGATTAGCTCCATTATTTCCTGAAGACGATAAATTAGAAGATCCAACCTTTGAAAAAACGATAATGAAGATGCGGGTCCTGCTTTGCAAATTTTATATGGTACTAAGGTAAAAAATATATGTACGAATTATATTGAACTGCACAATAAAATAAATCCAAAAAACTAGTAAATATTTCGGAAAGCTTTGGCACAGTAAAAAAATGCCAAACAACACAGCCAAATAAAATTAAAAAAGTTTCTAAAATTAAACATTCCGTAGATTTCAACGACGAGTCAGCATTACAGGGCAGCTTTAATCTGAACATATTATCATATAATGTAGCCGGTCTAAAAAATAAAACCTTACACAGCCAATTTTACGAATATATTTCTTCATTCGATATTATATTTTTATTTGAAACATTTTTAGAAGAAAAATTAGAAGAAGTAGTAAGAAAGTTACATAATTATATTATAGAATGGATACCTGCTAAAAGAACAAATATTTGCGATAGAGCTAGTGGAGGTGAACTATATGCAATAAAGAAGCAAACACATTTTACAAATAAAGCTAACTTTATCGAGTCAGGTAGAAGAACACTTGTTAAATTAACCACGACTAACGGAAGCCTGCACATTGTGCCTGTATATATAAACTGCAATAACTGTCAAAGCGATTTTGAAAACTTTCATGATTTCCTCACAGATGCTGGACTAGAAAATGTTATGATTGTTGGTGATCTTAATGCAAGAATTGGTGATAAGCAAGTTTACGAACATAATCCGTATACGCTGCAGATGCTAAGAGAAAGCAGAACTTCGAGGGACAGTATATGCGATAATAAGGGGAAAAAACTGTGTGAAATGTGTGAAAATTTCGGCCTATCTGTAGTAAATGGCAGAACAGATAGCGACAGCTTCGGTGAATTTACTTATGTAAGAAATAATGGTCGTTCTGTAATAGATTACTGCTTAATTAAAGGACTATGGTGGCAATTAGTCAAAAACTTTAAAGTTGTCGATTTAATTTACTCAGACCATATGCCAATAGAAGTAAATGTCTCGGGTCAGTTTTTCAGAAACCCAGAACAGGTGGAATTAAAATTACTCCCCAAGCTGTTATGGTCAGATCGAAATACACATAAGTTTGCGCTTAATTTAGAGCACAAGTTATTTTTAATGGAAGACAACCAACTAACAGCTGAAAATGGAATTGAATTGTTATCTCATTGCATTAAAAGAGCGGCACAACCCTTACAACCAAAACACTTACAAAGAAAATATAAGCAAGCATGGTATGATGCAGAATGCGAGTCAGCACGAAAGCGATCATTTTATTTACTTCACACTGCAAAGCGGCATGAAGAAGTGGAACTCCGACAGTTATATACACGTGCAAATAAAGAGTTTAAATTACTTTGTAAACGTAAAAAAAATTTATATTACTCGCAGTTAGCTAACTCCTTAAGATCAGTTAATGATAGCAAAACGTATTGGAATATGTTGCGAAAATTAAATGGACAAAAGTTCACCAAAAGTACAGAGTTAAATTCTACCCAGTTGTCATGTTACTTCTCAACGCTATTGAATGCTCAAGTTGGGTATGCGTTTAGTTTCGCCATATCAAATATTAAAATAGATTTGTTGGATAATGTAATCACTACAGAAGAAATTAATAAAATTTTAAGGAACAGCAAGTCAAATAAAGCGCCGGGAGAAGACAGAATCCCCATAGAGTATTATAAAAATGCACCGTCAAATTTTATCGCAAAGTTAGTAATGGTTTTTAACAAAATATTAGATGCCGGAACAACACCTAAAGATTTTAAAACTGCAATCATTTATCCGCTCTTTAAAAAAGGAAATCCGCAGATTGCGAATAATTATAGAGGCATTTCCTTTTTAAACTCCACTGTCAAATTATTCACAGGAATCCTTCTTGAAAGGCTAAAGGCTTGGGTAGCAGAATATAATTTACTCAGTGAATACCAGGCAGGATTTAGGAAAGGATACTCAACAATTGATAATATTTTTTGTCTTACAAGTATAGCCAAGCAGTATACGGAAAAAGGAAAAAAGCTATATGCATTTTTCGTCGACTTCAAAGCAGCGTTTGATTCAGTAAACAGAAACGCTTTATTTTATAAACTCAGTAGTATTGGCATGTCCACCAAATTTATCAATGTTCTATCCAATTTATATACCGAAAATCGTGCTGCTGTATGGGATGGGGAACACTTGTCAGAGTGGTTTGCTACTGATTCAGGAGTTAAACAAGGTTGCGTACTCAGTCCGATTCTATTCTCAATTTATATAGACGATGTGGTTACACATCTATCTGGAGGCGCATTTATAAATGGTGTAAATATTAAAGCTCTTTTGTATGCAGACGACATCGTTCTCCTAGCAGAAAGTCCCAATTGTCTACAAATTATGATAAATGAGCTACACAGTTACTGTAAGCTATGGGGATTAACAGTTAATATTGAAAAGTCAAAAGCACTAGTATTTAAAAAACATCACAGGCGGTATACAAATGAAGAAGTATGGACATTAGGCGGAGAAAATGTAGAAATCGTTAAGGAACACAAGTATCTTGGAACATGGATGTATTATAATGCTACATTTAATAGACACTTAACTGAAAAATTGAGAGAAGCTAAAAAAGCTATTAACTGCTCTTGGAAAAATATATTTGAAAATAAAGATATACCGTTCAAAACAAAATTTCAACTCTATGAATCTACTACTAGATCAATAATGTGCTATGCGGCTCAGGTATGGGGAGTGCTACAATATGAGGAAGTTGAAAAACTTTTACGATTTTTTGTAAAAAAAATATGGAGATTACCGCTTAACACACCCAACCGAATGATTTATTTGGAGACTGGCTTGTCACCTCTGTACTTGTACACTTTAGAAATCCACTTCAAGTATATGTTAAAAGTTTGCAACATGGAAAGCTCGCGGTTACCTAAAATATTAGCTATATCTCTAATGCAGGAGAAGAGTCACTGTTTTAAAACGTGAACTGAATTAGCATCGGTTCACCGTGAACCGCTGATAATCGATAACATACATTCGTGGAAGCATTGGCAGCAAAATATATTAGTAAAAATCGGTATTACGTTTAGAGAAAAGTTCGTAGCAGAAAGTCGACAAAGCTTAACTCGTGTTTTACACAGGCAACTTTATTATGACTTAGGCAACAACAGTTACTTCGCAGATCGCTTTAGTGCTGAAGCAATTGGATATATTTTCAAAACTCGAGGAGAACTGCTAAAGCTCAACAGCGCTCCCTATATGAACTCGTCAGACCCGAGATGCACGCTGTGCAATACTGGAGAAAAGGAAGATGTAATACATTTTCTTAGTAAATGTCCAATTTTAATGGAGCTATGGGTAAATTATTTTGGAAAACAAACGTTAGATATTAACGAATTAATGAGGCTGCTAAATGGTGAAAACTGGCATATGTTATCGATCTATGTGAAAACGGCGTCTCGTTATAGAGAAAATATTATATTAGAGGCATTTTAACTCTCATAAGCTGAAGTTCGTAAAAAAAAAAAAACACAAATCCAAACCCGATTGACGGCAAATGCCATAATCGTATAAGGATAGAATTAGATACTATGTAAATGAAGTTAGGTTTTTCTTATTAGTTTTCTTATAATTATTTATAATATTT